AAACACTTAAAAGGGGTGTATATGGCACATGATACAATCACAGTGAGTAAGATTCTTTCGCAGCTGACAAATGTGCAGATGATGACAAACGAGAATGTCATGGATTACGTCAATCCTGTACGCACACTACAAGATCAATTGGAGAAGAGTGGTGGATACTTCCCTCGTGAGATGTATCTCACGGTACTTCTTGCTGGACTTGGTCCCGAGTGGCGACAGACGCGCGCCTTCTTGCGCATGAATCCGAATCTCTCCAAAGTCGAGAGTTCATCGTATCTTCAAGCAGAACAGCAAGATCTTGACCTTCAGTCACATCGCAATCAAAAGAAGGGGGTACACTTAAGTTTTTACTCAAACCCAGTGCCACAACAACGATTTCCCCCAAAATATCCCTTCTGTCATTTCTGCAAGAAACCAGGACATACTTACTAGACTTGTCGCAGTCAACATAAAAACCGTCGCAGTTCTTCACAACCATATCATCATTCGCAGCAGTTACCGAAGTCCCATCAGCCAACACAGCAGTCGACGTCCCAGACACAGCAGCTGCAGAAACCACCACTGAATATACCTCTCTCACAGCACCGTCCTCCGGTCTTTCCATCTGCAACATCAGGAAAAGGGGTTTTTGGATGTGTTACGACAATTGATGTATCAGATACCGATTTCGAGACACAACTTGAAGAAACCACCAGTGCAGAGGGCATTCCCTTACCGCAAGTTTACGCTAACCTTGCTCGGGTTATTTCAGTACCCAATACTTTGTATCTCGACAGCTGTTGTGGTTGGCATATATGCTCCGCTGAAACAAGCTTCATCACCAATCAGCGTCCACTTCGTCTTCCGATACCTGTCACTGTTGCAAACGGACAAACTATTATGGCCAAATCCATCGGGAGTGTAATGCTCGAGTTCGTCGACACGGGATATTCCTTACATATTACCAACGTCCTTATCGTCGTCGGCCTTGGTTTTAATCTCCTCTCTACAGCTCAGCTCCTGGCACACAAGATTCGCACACAAGGCAATTGCGATACAATGGATCAAGAGTTATGGCACAGTCTGACAAACACTTACCCTTGTCGCGCTGCTACTCAGTATGGGGTATCCATTCTTCGGTTCACGACACAGGGCACCTCTGGCGATTCTGAACGCGTCATCGCTCTCGGTCCCTGGGATCATCCCGACGACAACGATTATCAACAAGTTGATGTTGATTTTCATGCAACTACCGTACCCACGACTTCTCGAACCGCAGCTGCCGTTCTGACCGCTCTTGATACTTGGGAGTTCAACACTGCCGATGAAGGCGCCAATGCTTGGCGAACGTTTTATAAGGCTCGTGCCGCCTTCCAAGGAACTCCAGCTCTATCTTGGGGAGAAGTCAGTGGTCTTGCAGCTGATGAACCCGAAGTCGTCGAGGAAGTCGCAAAAGCAGAAGTTGCCGAGCAGCCGAGTCGCACAGTAGCTGAAGCAGGACCGTCTGCCATCACATGAACAGCCGCAGTATCAGACCGCCGCAATTGCAACTGCAGCAGAGCCGTCAAACATTTAGTTACCACTTACCCGTTTCGTGAAAGGGGAGATCGAAATATCTCCAGCTCTTTCTCCTTTCATCGTTTCTTCTTTTTATACTAATGTCGATTTCTATCTGCGATCAACAGGACACAAAGCCACAGAGGACATTTGGCATCAAAGGTTAGGACATCCATCGCAAGGGCTTTTAAATCATTCAATTCGAGCAGTAGTTCTTGATAAAAACAGTCTTCTCTTACGTGACGGTACGGAGATGAAACCACAGTCTCACCCAACGGTCTGCACCACGTGTCCGATCGGCAATCTTACCCACGACCCGTTTCCAAGTCATTTTCCTGGCTCAATTCGTTATCGACTGATGCAGAAAGTTTACAGCGATATTCTCAGCTTACATAAAGCAGGACCTTAAGAGGAGCAGTATGTGATTACCTTTATCGAAGCATCTACTCGCTACGTTTGGACAGCCAACCTTTCTGCTCGTTATCTCGCCCATTCGGTCTTCGTCGCATGGCTCGCTGTCGCTGAAAGAGAGTCTGGAGCGAAACTGCAAGAATTTCACAATGATGGCGCAGGGGAGTATACGAGCAACACTTGTTCAGACTACCTCCAAACCCTCGGCATCAAAAGGAAGCAGTCTCTGCCACATGCAAACCAACAGATGGGGGTAGCAGAACGGATGAATCAAAGTCTGCAAGAGAAAATGCGTGCTCTGCTGACGCAGGCAGCTCTTCCTCCTTGTTTTTGGCCATATGCGATGGACCATGCCGTGCTGTTACATAACCTGCTGTCATCAACATCACTGCCCGAATTTTCTTCTCCCCACTTGCAATGGACACGTACAGTGGGAAGTACAAAACTCTTACGAGTCTTTGGGTGTGTCGTGCAGTATCGACCTCCAACTGTAGCATTTGGCAAATTTTCAGAACGGGCAAAATGGGGGGTCCACCTTGGCATCGAAAAACAGTATCACCCATGGAAGATTTTGGATCTACGTTCAAACCAAATCGTCCCTTCACGTGATTGTCTTTCCTATGAGCGACTCACCTTGCCCGTCTTTCATGCCCACCATGCAGCAGCTGCAAACCCTGCCAGGCTGTTCGAAGGCTCGCGTGCATTTGCAACCGACGAAGCAGAAGCTGTTGTACAAGACGAGGCAGTTTCTGAAGCCTCCAAAGCTGCCGCCACGGACATTCCCGAACTTGTCACGTCGTCTAGCATCCCGAAGTTTATTCCTCTCGTTGATGCTGACCCGGATGACGCTCGCGAAGTACACCTCAGTTACGAACGTGATCGTCAACAGCAACCGATGCCCGTTGTCTCCGACGAAGCAGTCTGTGTTACACCTGACAAAATTGGGGGGGAAGAAGGGTAAGAAGAAATTTTCTCAGGTGCAAACGGAGAACGTCCGCGTTTTACAGAAACTTGTTTGCAGTTCCTTGGATTCTCAGTTGCAGTACAGTACAACGACAGTAAAATATCTGAACCGAAAATAGTTCGACAAGCTCTTACGGGTCCTCACCGAGAAAAATGGCGCGAAGCCATGGACAAAGAGCTAACAACTGTTAATTGTCGTGGTACATGGGAGTTGATACCGATACCAGAGGTAAAGGAAAGAAAAGATCTTACCAGCAAGTGGGTCGTCCGTGTCAAGACAAATGCAGATGGATCGTTTGAGAAATTCAAGGCGCGATGGGTCGTTCGCGGGTTTGAGCAGACTTTTGGTCTTGACTACGAACTCACCTTTGCTCCCGTCGGTCAACATACGAGTGTTCGAATTCTGCTCTGTGTCGCCGCCTGCCGCAACCTACGTCTTCGCCAAATCGATGTGGCGAATGCTTTTCTCTACGCACCCGTTGACGCGCTCATTCTGGTAGAGTACCCACACTCATACACTACTAACCCACCGAGTGTGTGCCGTCTCAGAAAATCGCTCTACGGTATTAAGGAGGCACCCCGGCTCTGGCAGCAGTATCTGCATTCACAGCTTCTCACTGCTAGCTTCCATCAACTACCGCATGATCAAGGGATGTACCTTCTAACTGCTGGAAGCGACTATATTCTACTCGTCGCTTATGTCGACGACATTCTCTACGTCAGCACGACTTAATCACTCGCCAACATCTTCATACAGAAACCACAGGAAAACTTACAGCTCACCGTCTCCGAGTCAGTCTCACAATTTCTCGGACTGAACATTACCTGCTCATCCACATCTATTCACCTAACTGCTTCGAAGTATGCAGCTACGCTTGCTGCCCGCTTCAATCTCACCCCTACCACAGTCACTACACCGTACCGTTCCCTACCGACAGATCACAAGCCGAATACTACACCACTGAATCTCTCTGATCTATAGATTTATCAACAGCAGTTAGGCTGTCTTCTTTTCGCCGCCGTTACTTGTCGTCGGGATCTAGCCTACGCGGCTAGTCAGCTCGCTCAATATCTAAGCCGTCCTGAAGGGGAGCATCAACTTGATCTCCTACGTGCGCTTCAATATTTCATATCGACTCCTGACGTCGGTTTGGTCTACAACGTCATCGACTGTAAAACACTATATCTAAACGGTTTCGTTGACGCCGATCACGCTGCCGACACTACTAATCGACGCTCGCGTACTGGATTTATCCACCGCCTAGAACCTGTTGGGCCTATTTCTTGGAATTCGACGAAGCAAGAGATGATTTCTCTCTCCTCTGCTGAAGCTGAATTTATCGCTGTCTGCACAGCAACGCGCAAAGGACTTTACCTGCAGGAGCTCCTGGAAGAGGCAAAATTGACGACGAGTACTCAGTTTACTTTGCAGTGCGATAACGAGACTGCAATTCGCATCGCGCACCTGCCCGGGTTCGCCAACAGGACGAAACACATTTCACTACGTTACTTTTTTCGTCAAGGATGAATTTGAGAAGGGGAGGATGCGATTGGTCTACTGTTCGACCAACGAAATGGCTGCAGATTTCCTCACGAAGAAACCAACACGACAGAAGTTTCGGTACTGTAACGAACCTTGCGGGATCTTCAAGAAGTGACACTATCGTACTTCCAGAAATGAAGGGGAGTGTTGTGATATGGTTCATACTGAGCATTTCTGTAAATCGATTATCGATAGATAGTGTCGAATCCTACTGTAGAAGAGAAGTCCGTAGGATGACGTCAGCAAATAGCGCTCGTAATTGTTAAAGCGAGAACTGAATGATAGACTAGAAGTGGAAACC